GCTGTCATGGTTACTCTTCAGTTGCTGGATAGGAATTTACTTCCTAAACCTATCCTCAACTTAACTGTTAGTATGGACAAATAAAATCTTCTTCATGGAAATTCAGTCGTTTGGTAGGTTTTGCTAGAATGGAAAATGTAGGAGCATTACTGGCCTGTGTTCATTAACTCATGGACATTTTAAGTAGTCCTGAAATACATGAAATTCTTCAGAGATGTGTTTCAGTCATTCCTCTCATGGCATCCTTTGTATTTCAGGACCCCAAACGTCATTTAGAAGAGCATGTGGACGTGCTGATGACCTCAAACATTGTCCAGTGTTTAGCTGCTATGTTGGATACAGTTGTATTTAAATAACCAATTTACCGTTTGTGATGCTTTCTGTGTATATTTGTTTATTGTTTCTAATACTCACAAGACAGAGACTGTTGAGGCTCTATTTGATTAAACAGAGACATCTGACTTTTGCAATGTAAGCGCATCACTATAACACCTTTCAGTCTCTAATTGTGCATTTGCTTCAATTTCTTTATGTCAGGGTCCTCACAGATTACAAAGTATTCAAGAACACCACGTGGGCAAAAATGTATTACATTTTCATTTAATATTTGGGGGGAAAATCAGTAATACATATATATTTTGATTGTTGCAACTTAATAAAAATACATTTACAAACCTGTTTTAAGTTCTGGGCAATCATTTTTGAAAAAGGACAGCAGGAAATAAGAGAGTAGAAAAAGTATTATTAAAGACTTGTTTCTACCCACTGTAAAACTACTGAGATATTAATTACTAGGACAGCAAAAATTCTCTAATGGAATTTGGCTCCCATTGATTACCAGATACTCTCATGGAGATTTAAAAAAAAAGAAAATAAACCACAGAAATTGTAGTAGTGCTTAATTCTGAGGATGTAAAAAACCCCAAAATGCTGAAAATTCCCGTCAACTCCCTTTGAATATTATTCAAACCCTAATATCTACAGAAGACAACTGACCTTAAAAAAATTAATTCAGTTGCTGATAACTGAATCACACAACTCTCACAAGTGGTGTCATAAATAGCAGTATTCTGAGAATAAACATTAAAGTGATAGAGGCTGTTTTAGGTTACATGAACTCCCGTGAAAGAGAACATACACGAGATGTCCATATATATAAATATATGGAAAGAGTCCCAACTAGAATATGACATTTAAAACCATTTCCACTGACTGGGGAGGGAAACACAGGAGGGCAGGTGGGTTGGCTGCTTGGTTTGAAGCAGACAAAGCCAAATAACTGGGTTTAGGGAGTGGCTCTGGGTTTTGGGCAGGGGGCTGGTTGGAATTTTTTGTTGGGGTGGGGGTTTTTTTCAACTAGTGGATGGTACTTAGACTGATTTGATTCTTGTGTCTGGGCAGAAGTTTTATTTTTCTGTTTACTGGTTTGTTTTTTTTTCAATAAATGACAATAATAGTGGCAAGCAAATATTTTAAAACTAGATACATCTCTTGTTGAAGATGATTTTTTAAAAATTTGACTTCTTGTTTGCATACTAAAGGAATAACCCTAAAATTGTCTTATTTTCTGGTTTATGCCCAATATTTTTCTATTTACCTACTCTTTACCATTCAAAGATTTTTCTTTTGTTTGGAATTTCTTATTTAGGCCTTTTAATTTACTATTTTAGAATAACTCTCTCTCAAAGTATATTTAGCATGCACTTACTTCAGAGGGAAACATGCAGATTTTTGCAGCTGCCCTCCTTATGGCCTTCCCTCTGCCCCCACAGTAGGCAGTGGAATATCAGGCTGGGAAAATGGAGACATACCAAACCACATTTGCCTGAGTGTAGTTAAATTGAAGTACTTTCTGGCGATTTACACTGAAAACCTGCGTGTCCTTGAGGAAGGCTGTATTTGGGCCTTGCTGTTGTGGGATATGGGCACCCCGGGGTGAGATGGGGCAGGAGCTGATTGGGGGACCTGCCCTGGGGCTCCTCTGCCAGTGGGGCTCTGCATCCTTGCCGCTCTCTACTCCCACGCGCACGTGTAACACCACGAGGGAGACAGAGTTTGGCAGGTCGTGGGTAACATGGCACTGCAGAGCAGAAGAGAAGCTAGCGCAGTGCTGCAGTGTATACATGCGTGAGAGGCTGGTGTAAGCAGGGAGACAAACCAGTGAGTCTTGCATATTCTAAATTAATTTTGACAAATGTACATCTTGCAGAGGGTAGCTGAAGGGAGTCTGTTGGAGATACAGATCTGTAGTATAAGCTTGTGCTGTGGTACCCTGCTTTCTGTTCGCTCCTCAGTTTGACTTGGAGGCACAATTTTCCATTTACCAAGATGTTTCATGAATAATAAAAAGGTAGTTTTTGGGGGCATCTTTCCTTATATTTGTCCAGTGCTTTAGAGCTACACAAAGGATTTGGAAGAGTGTGTGTATGCGGTAACCTGAAAAGCAGCAGCCCATATACCATCTTGGAGGAAGAAAGAGGTTTTCAAGCAGCCTCCTTCTGAGCCTCCAGCCGCAATGGAGCAGACCTTCATTAGCAGCTTGACCCCTTGTCACCTGTCAACGCGAAGGACGGGCATATTGTATTAGCAAACCTCTCTACATTCTATGACGATTCTGTAACACCACCTGCCATTGCATATCCCCCTATTATACCAGTTTAGGAGTTGTGCTCTGAAGATTTTTGGCATATATTAGCACTTCCATGTGATTGGCAGCATACCACTGAATTCATTGCAGCTCTGCATCTATATGGGTGTAGCTCTGTAATTCAGGGCAGCGTTTCCGAGGGTTTATCTGCGTTTTGATCCATCTCCTGCCTGTATAAGTCCATTACCTTTCTGTTGGTTCAAGCAGGGAAAGGGAAGGGTGAGCACGATGGTGAAACAAGTGTCAGAAACATTAGTTAGAACTGATAATAATAAAACTATTTTCTTAGCACTGAAAGGAGAAGGTAGTGTATGGAAAGTACACAGTCCACTGTACCACCCGACTGTGACTGGAACAGTGAATTATGCTTGCTTTTTGCTTCATAATTTATCTTATTAGAATCATTTCCTTGCAGAGAGAGTGTGTATGTTGGCATTTATGAAACACTAAATAACTGAAGTAGCTCACGGTTAAGCAAAGTAAATGACCACGAGATGAGAACATTGAAATACACATTCTGACAAGTCATCCTGGTTCTAGTCTTCTCTGGATTTGAGTTTGCAAAAGTTTCAGCTTGGCTTCAGGCAATTGTACGATTGTTTGGTCTTATTATGTGATGGTTCAGACCGCATTAGTTGTCAGTTGAATTTGAAGCCGGCTGCTGATGTCACTTGAGAAGAGATGTGGTCTGTAAAATACCTGAAGTCCAAACCGCTAAGGGGACAATACTGAGAAAAATGGAAGAGGAGAGGAGAGCTCCTCCCTGGGTAAAAATAAAATCCAAAATCCAACCCCCCCCCAAAAAAAAAGAAAATCAACAAAACAAGAAAAACCAAAACTTGTGCTTTTAAAAACTCTCAAGCTTCTCTAGGAAGGGAAATTGAGACCGGTGCTTGGCAGACGAGGTATGGCGAGCGGGTCCCCTGAACTCAGGCGCATCTTCACGCCTTGGATGGTCCCGCTTTCAGTAGCCCGAGGCTCTACCGGGAACACCGCGGGACCCACGGGCCGGTCCCTCCGCTAATTGGGGGTCTCCGCAGCCCCCCGAAGGTGCGCGGGCCTCGCCCGCCCCGCCCGGGTGTCACCGGGGCCGCGGCCGCCGCTCTCCCCTGGGCTCGGCCGCGACCGCGGCTCTGCCGAGACACCCCTGGGCAGAGGGTGCCGGCGGCTCCTTCCGTAGCACCCCCGTGGTTTGGGCTTCTCCGCTACGCTTGAACCTGCCGACCGAGCCGGGCCGGGGCCGCGGCTCGTGGCAAGGGTGCTACCAAAAATCGAGGGCTGTCCGCGGGACCGAGCACGGAGGGGAAAGCAGGCACCGGGTGAAAAGAAATCCGGAGCAGGATGGGAGGTGGACGCCTTCCACGCTGTTTTGCTGATAATCTCCGGCATTACGGCTCCCAGATAAAATATTTATTTACTAAAGAACCCGTAAACATCGCAGCAAATACATTAGGGCACTTCGGCTGCGGGGCTTATGATTATTTCAGAAGTTGAAAGAGATGATACGCGGCCGCTGTCAGCGGGGATGGAGGGTGTATTTTCCCCCGCAAAGCAGGCACGGGTGGGAAGGGTGGGGGCGTTGTGCCGGGGGTCGCTCAGAAGAGGTGGGGGAGAGGGGCTGCGCCCCGCTGGGGACAAACTGCGGGAGTGAGCTGAGGGCAGCGGCTGCCCAGCCCGGCACTCCCCTCGTAACCGGTCCCCGAAGCCCCCAGGACCCACTCTCCATCCTGACGCACAAAGGTAGAGGACACGCGCGCAATATTTGGGCAATCGTAGGGTTTGGATTTATTTTCCAGCCGTAGTCAAAAAAAAAAAAAGCTGGAAAGGTCACATAATAATGAGCTCTCACAGCAAACACACTCTTCCCTTCCCCCTTTCCTTTCCTTCTATCTCACAATAAAATCATCTCCTTCAATTTGCCATGATCATCGCGACCAGGAGCCAGGTGATTATCCTAATTAATGTCTATCTAATTAAATTACTGTCAGCGGTTAACCAATGGCAGAAGCCGTTTCATCCTCTCCACAAGCAGCAAGATCAAAAGTGAGTCTTTCCTGATTGCTGCATAGTGTCAATTGGCCAATCTCTTCTCCCTGGGAAGGGAGGAAGGAAAAAAAAAAAAAAAAAAAAAAAAAAAAAAAAAAAAAAATCAAACAGCAACACATTTCAGAAAGTCAAAAGGAAAAGTACTTCAGCTTTTCAGCAGACGTGGTTTTAATTACCAAGT